TGAATATGGCACTTATCACATGCTGTGTGGTATCGGCGTTTGGTATCGGGGCATTTTAACAAGTACGAGTACAGGAGCTCAGTATCAGGCTCGATACCAGTATCGGTATCGGTGCATCCCTAACATATATATATATATATATATATATATATATATATATAAACAAAATAAATTATAAAAACACAATGACATAATTAAAACTTTAAGTAAAATTAAAATGCAAAAGATAAAAATAAAAACAAATTCAAAATTCTAATAAAAACTATAATAGCATCTCCATGATATTAAAATAACATAGATTGATGATGTAATTGCTTGCTGGTGTTTCTGTGCACAGGGAACAGAGTTTGCCCACCATTCAGATCCAGCTACAACGAGACACGACTGATTACGGCGGCCCCATCGATCTTCCTCCCGGGAACAGCACCAAATCCTCTGGCGGCCTCCCCAAAACCATCTCCAAACTCACCTCACGCTTCACCAAGAAAACCTCGTCCAACTCCAGCGCAGGCGGCAGTTACTCCATCCCCAGCACGCCGTCAAGGAGCAGCGGCAACTCGGACGACAAATCCGGCCGCCTGCGCAGCCTCCTGCAGATGAGCAGCATGCCATGCACACCTGACCCCAGCCACGCGCAGACCGCCAACGGCGCATCCGCAGACGAGCAGGGCATGAACCTGCCCACCGACCAGGAGATGCAAGACGGCATCGACTTCCTATCGGGGTTCAACATGGGGAAATCCCAGCAGGCCTCTCCGCTGGTGAAGAGGAGGAACTCTGTGGCGTCTACGAATGCGGCCGACTTGAAGCCGCCCAGCGGAGCGGCTCCGCTCACCTCGCAGTCTCAAGTGTCTCAAATGTTGGCGCAAACCTTGAAGCAACAAACACAGCAGCAACAACAGCAGCAGCAGCAGCTTCCGTCAACACCAAAACAGCAGCAAACGCAGCCGCAGTCGCAGCCGACCTCACAGACTCTGCCGTTCTACCAGCATCTCTTGCAGCCGATCGGTCAGCCGCAGCAAACGGCACCCGTTTCCCCGCAGCTCTCTACCCAGCAGCCCCCGCAGCCAAGAGCCCCCAGCAAGTGGCCCCAGGGTCCTTTAGGAGGCCTCTCGCCCATCGGGCCCTTGACGCAGTGGCCCGCCCCTGGCCTGCCGGACCTCAGCTCTGACCTCTACAGTCTGGGGCTGGTCAGTACGTACATGGACAGCATGATGTCTGAGATGCTCGGCCACAAGCCCCCACAGGGACCACGGAACAACACCTGGCCCAACCGAGACCAAAGTGACCAGAGTCTGTTCGGGGTGTTGGGAGACTCCATGCCCTTTGACCCTGCAGGTGAGCAGAGACCGGTCAGCTCAGACGGGTTCATCATAGGTTTTGTAGTGTTAGAGTATCAGAGCAGAACTCTGGCGCATGGAAGAGAATGAAAGTTCTGATCATTTTACATTAAGCCATTACATTTTATATATGTTTGTGTGTGTGTGTGTGTGTGTGTGTGTGTGTGTGTGTGTGTATATATTTTTTTTAAATTTATATA